GGTTGGTGTGCAGAGGCCTTAACGCTGCATTGATTCTTTATTTCAGACACTAGGGGGCAGCAAAAGAAGCTGAAAACACAACATCTGTCATATTATCACCTTGAAAAATTGTTGACGGCAAATTTGTTTGCAATCAATTGCTTTTTACTCATCCAGCTGACACAACATTCATTAAGACTTGTGTTTTTGGCAGCCTGATAAATATTCCAGACTCATATTCACTCTTTTTCTTCAGCTCTATGGAAAACCCCTGAGGAAAATAGGCATCCGTGTGTTGGAAACAAGCTTGATGAGAGCAGAGTTTGTGGGTCGTAAAACCAAAATAATGAGCCGAAAGACACTAAAATGCTTCATAGAGATGATAATTCTCTACTACGAGCGACACATTACATTTATTTATTCATTCATTCAAATTTGATCTATTGTTGATATAAACATTTTCATTAGTGCAGCTTTTAAATACTTGAACTACAGTTCTCAGCCTGTGTTGAGACTGAGATTAGGCTCTTAATGTTTCACATTCTCCCTGCAGTGTTTTAAAATGCTTGCCCCCTCATTAGACTTGTAAAGACTGGTGTGTTCCTGTTCCTGGTCTTTTTCCGTTCTCATTCAGTTTTTGACGTAATATTCAAAACAGAGGAAACAACTGCTCTGGAAAAACAGGAACCTCATTTAATCAAAGATTCAAAAATCCTCACGTGAGCACATGACAATACAAAACAGGGCTAGTAATTTAGTGCCAGTTGTGAAGGAGTAGCCGGAAGCAACACAGTGAATTCCTGCATTCAATTATGCAGGATAAAATCTGATTTTTATCTATCTGTCTTGTAAATGTTGCCTTAACAGCCCTGGGAAGCCAAAGGGAAAGAAGGGAGGAAAAGACAAACCAAAAAATGTCAAGTCCAACACAGGAGGAGAACAGTTTCCTGAGGTTTGTACAGTAAAACCCAGACTTTTATGTGGTTTGGATTGACCATTATCCATGAAATAATTCTTATTAAATTCTTTTTATTATCCATGCTTATATTGTTTAACCACATATCCCTATTTCCACCTCTAGAAAGAAGTAACCCTCCACTGTGTGACCTGTAACAACGAGTTCCCAACAAGAAACAAATTGTTTGACCATCTGAAAACCACCGGCCATGCCTCTGCTCTCTCCTCAAACGCCGCTCACAGCGCCGTGAGCAAGAGCAAAAAGGACAAAAAGAAGAACAGATAACAAATAATTCATCTGGGCTGATGAACCCGAAAGAGAGAGGGACACAGAAAGCAACGCTCTTGAAGGCTCTCAGGGGGAAGATAAACTACAAAAATGCCTTTTTAAAGTGGACTTTAATGAACTGGATTGGCTGACTGAGAGCAAATTGTTTTTTTTGTTTTTTTTAAAATTACACAATCACGTTCTTTGAGACAACTGTGTATGTGTGAGAGGCTCCTTTTGGTGTTTGAGTCTTCCAGCTTGGAATGATGTTTTCTGTACCTCTCCCAGTAACTTATGAAATCCTCTGTACTGATAAACCAGTTGAGAAAACCATACAGTATGCACATAGGAAACACCTTTTCATCAGATCCTTTGCTGTTTTATGGAATCATTTCTCTTGGTTTGTCACGAAGAGCTCAATAGTGGTATTACTGCATCATAAAAATAAAAGTGATACTGCATGTTGGTATTTAAACAACAACTCTGGAATGATTTGCATTAATGCCTCAAGTAACCCTGGTTAACAATAAACTGCTGTATGTTGGACCTGTCCGTACAAAACGTGCACCTATACCCTTTTTAGATGCTGTTTTATTGGTGAGACAGAAATACAAAATAGCATATTTGAGCAATATGTAAATGCACAGCTGTTTCATCAAACGTGATACATTACATTCAGATATATAGTATAGTCAGGGACTATATTGTTTTTATACATACTGTATATAGTGTTTAACTACAAAACATTGCGTCCTAACCACAACATGTCTACCTAAAAGTTGTGAGGTTTGTCCAGTGTATTGAATGAGTGTTTACTATAAAAGAAAAAAGGAATTACAAAGCAGCAGCGTAGGTGTCTTCAAAATTATAACATGCGTGGTTAAGTTTAAAGTTCACTTAATAGAGCAGTCAGCAAAATGATAAGCATTACAGTTTAAAGCATTTACAAAAATGCAAGCCACTGCCGAAGGGGTTTCCAGGTCTGGTCCTTGGCATTGAGCTATTCCTGTTCATTTTCTGTCGACGTAGCTGTGGATGGCCTTGTTAAAAACTGCCAGGAAGAAATCTACATCCTCCTTGGTGATGCACATGGGGGGTTGGATGCGGAAGGTCTGACGTGGTTGAGAAAACAGAAGACAAGCACACACATTTAGAAATGGGAGTAATCATAGGCTGGTAAAATGTTTAAGTAGATCCATCAGTAAAAAGTACAACATGTTGGTGTGTGAGCTAGAATTTGTTGTAGGAGGTATTATTGTAATAGTGGTTTTTCTTGCATGAGAAACCGCTATAAACATAACTAAGAGGATGCTCTCAAAGGCGAGGCCAAGGTAAGGGCAAAGCTTTACAGCTGATTCATTCATTGTTGCTTTGTGAATAAATACATTTTCAATACAATTATCTTTCAATTATACCTCTTTCTCTTTAACAGAGACGAGGTGTGTAGGCAGTGACATTTTGACTCTGTAGTAAATGACCTTTTAACAACATCTGCCCCATATGCTTTTATTTTTGTTCTAGTGGGATAATGATAAAAATATCTGCAGTGTTTATTTTCTGAAGCAATTTGCTGCTTTTACAGTGATGACTTAAGAGCAGAGATGGAGGCAAAATTACCAGAGATGGTCTTAATCAAAGGCTACAGCAGCTAGATCAGTCCCAAAGTTATGAAATACACCATGGAATGCCAGAAGGAAATCTCTTTATTTGAATCCTTTTGTCAAGCCAATACTAAAATGAACACGAGTCTCTGTTGATTCAGGGTGAAAATGTTGCATTAAAAAAGTCATACCAACAACTTGTTTATAATGTTTTAATGTTGATCTCGACAACAATCTGCTTTGCAATGTGGGTGCCGGCTGTGTATTCGAATGTGTGTTGGGGCCACTGTTCACAAAAATCAGACAATTCAAGAAGAGCTAACAGTTCTCGCTTTTTTATATATGAGATTTGAAACATTAACATAGCAGCAAACAACTATTTGCTTTGTAAAAATGTAGTGGAGCCCTGAGCAGAGAATGACGTCACACTCCCTTCACCTGTGTTGATATGGCAACCTCTCTCTGATTTGTTTACACAGCCAGTCTGGCCGTGCGTGCATGTTGGGGTTTATTTCAACCAAACCATCATTGGTGATTGTTGGAAACACAGTGGGAAGACTATTGCTGAGTTTTATTTGGTCTGTAGTGTGTTCTGGCTACTTTGAGGATGGTGCTGTTACCTGTCCATAGACTCCTCCTTTCCCTATCAGGACTCCCATGTCCTTTATGTCCTCAAAAATCTCACTCATTGCCTCAGGAGACAGTGGGTTCCTGCTGACCTGTGGATGATAGAGGAGAGATAAATACGTGGATGTGGCTGGAGCTGTTACATTAAACTATTATCAAGTAAATAACATTATGAACATTTTCATCTGCCTGTGTCTGAGCAACTAACCACTTCAAGCAAAATGGCCAGACTACTGGCTACTACATCTACAGTTTCCAGGTTAATAATGGCCAAGGGGTTCAAACAAGGCAGCAGTCTTAGTACTAGGAAATGGCTGATTTACTTTCATGATATAGTGTTACTTGAGTTGTCTACTGCACGGATTAATAATGCCAAAGCCTCCACTCTGGAGGATTATGTTTATAAAAGTTGTATGGATGCTACTGTATGTTTCACTCGCAGTGGTTCAATAAAAAGTTCTTCACAAAAAAACTAAACAAGGCAGCAGATAATGATCTCCTCTTCAGGATCAGTTACTCATTTGGAATGTAATTCATTGTACTAAAGGGCATTCTTCATAATAAAAAATAGAGTTGGATAAGACATTTATCCAAGAATGAATAGTGTTAGGTTGGTCAATTCCTTGATTCACTGTAGAGAACACCTAAACCTTAATAGACCTTAAAGTAATATATGGATGACACTTATCCAGTCATATCTAAGTTTGGCAGTGTTTATTCAGTCACTGGTCATAAAACGACCTTTAATAAGTCTAATTCGACATACCAATTCTTTTCCAGAGGGGTTATCCAGAGTTTGGTACAGGTAATTATGATTTTTGAGATCCTTCTGCTTGATATAATACAATACTTACACTATACAAGCACTTCTAGCAGAGAATATGGTAAATTACAAATACAAAGGGTTAGTAAGTAAGAGAACTAAGTGTATACTAAGCTTAACCTAAATTTGGATTTGCTGCTGGGCAACTGTAATATTTCATGCGTTTCTGGTTCTCTCTCTTCCCCCTTCAAATTCAGTATCTTCCAGATTTAACTGATTAAAAAACATGTCTGAACAGCTGAGATGGTTCTATTCAGAGTTACAGTTCATCACTGCTGCATAAAGGTTAACTGAGCTGAACCATGGCCCCCGGGGGCCCAGTGCAGGCGTCACTTCTGTTACAAGCGCCATACCTTGTCTTTGACCATTTCCACACCGATCTGCAGGCCTTTTCCACGCACATCACCGATAATGTCATGCTGGTCTCTGAGTTTTGCCAGTTCTGTCATCAGATAAGTGCCCACATTATGACTGTTCTGCTGTATGCTGTCTTCTTTGATAGTCTGTTGAGTAAAACTACTGAGTGTTAGTCGTGTTTGAATTATAAATCATAATCAGTGTCTTTATTCATTGTCAGTAGATTTATTGTCAAGGCATGGCAAGCTAACTGCAGTAAAAAAAAGCTCTCCGAGCTTCTCTCTAGTTTCTCTCTACTGTTTCTCAGTAGCGGGAAAAGTTCACAGAGTTTATTCAAAAGAAATAATTGTACCGTCAACTTTAGTATCATTTAACCATTTCTCTGTTGCTTTCCAGTCCCCTCAAAGGTCAGCAATAGTGTCAAGACAGCTTCCTATTGGTCAAAGTCACAAATTCTCTGGTCAAAATACACCAAAGCTGAACAAGTTGAAACCCTGGCAGGGGAACAATAGACAAAGCAAACAAAGTTGCACTGTGGCTTACAAGTCATGGGCAGACACTGCTTTGTTAGCTGTGATATTGAGAGCAAGGACCAAACCAAAATTGAAACAGACCAAATATTTGCAGGTAGATTTTTAATGCTGTTTAATGTGCTCCAGCTGATCAAATAACTAGCCTGCAAACTGATGTTTGCTTTGCATTTCTCCCCAGTGAATGTCTGTTTGGTCGCTCGTTCGACAAGCTTAGGTGCAGGACAATACGTGTCGCCGTGTTTTTAAGTTAGATAAGAAGGAGAGAGATGAGCAGGAATGCTGTGGGTTGTTTTTAAGTCTGTGGCTCTTGTGTTGTGTAGTAGGCTGCCTGATGATGTGACATTACTGGTTTAAGCAAATATGGTTTCAATTAAAATGATTCGATACTCGTTGATGAATGAATGATGAACATAATCAACATATGTAGACGGATGATGAACTAAAAAAATATATAATATACCATAAAATATAATGTAAAATATACATTTCTCTCTTTTGGCTTCCCCCAATGTTTTTTTCCTCACACAGAATATGATTTATAGAGCAGATAAGTGTAGCAGAAAAAAGAAACTGCAAAGAGGTCATAACAAGCACACTGTAATTCAGTGTGCTTGTTATGACCTCTTCAACTTCAGCTACAGTAGCAATGCAAAACTGGATTTCGATCACATTAAACTCCCTTGCGCTAACAGGACTGATGAACAAGATAAATCTTTACATCAAGCACTGATGAAGCCACGGCACAAGCTATAGGACTTCCTCCAAAGGTGTTGAAGTGGTAGGCCTTTCCAAAAGAAGCAGCAATTTCTGGAAAAAACACAAATAAACAAGCTCACATCTCCACTCATCGCTGCCTCAAATTAACACTTAAAAATACATTTTCTCAGACTATATCGGTTACAAATGATTGGCGGAAATATCAGAGTTTTCACGTTGGTTTCTTAACTTTTAAATTACACCCAGTAGGGTTTTATGGCACATGAAACAGTGGGTCATTAAAGGGTTGGTGAGAGAGCTATGGCAACTAGCTTTCTAAATAAACAACACAGGAGCAACCTGTGAGTCCACGTCTATTCACAGAAGGAGACATACTTACTTCAACACTGTAATACTCTACCATAATCAACATATGAATTCTGACAATGTTTTCTGTTTTCTTTGTATATTCTGGCCCTGAGAAAAACAACATTTTATTCAGCTGTATTTGTTTATCTTTGAAATGATTTAACTTCAATCTGATATCGGGTCAGCACAAACATAGGCAGAGTCAATGTACTGCACATTCAATTGAAGTGACCATTATTACTGACACGTACATACAAATGTTCCACAGCTGGTGATGAGTGGCCTGCAAATCGTAAATGAGGTATGATTGTGTAATTATTACAGATTGAAAATGTTTTTCCAGGCTCAAAAAGATCATAATTGTCATCTCTTCTAGTGTTGTTTGACTGTTTAAAAGCAGAAATAATGAACTGTATTTGATGTTTCAATGAATTTCAAAGGAGGATTGTATGTCCCGCAGTATTATCTCACCTGGTGTTGTAACAACAGCTCCTATTGGGAATCCATTACCAATGCCCTTTGCCATTGTAACCATATCAGGAATGACTTCATGACCTTGGAAACCCCAGAAGTGAGTTCCTGTTCGCCCAAATCCAGTCTGGACCTGTCAGGCACAATTTGTTTGCATTTTTCCAACTTGGCATTTCATGATATATGATGCAAGCATTAGTGCTAAAAAGATGGAAGTGGATGATTAAAGCCACTGAGCACAAGTAATAGTGGTGAGGTGCCTGTGCAGAACACAAAGGACACCAAAAGACAGTTCCCACCCCAGCCACAGCCTGTTCACCCTGCTGCCGTCTGGCAAAGTGATGCATAAGCAGACACTGTTTATCATTCAGCACTTTGCTTTTATTACTGGTAATCATTTTAGATCACATCATTGTATTCTTTATCAGGCAGTAGGATAGTCGTCCCTAGGAGACTAGGAGAAAACAGCATTTGCTGTATGTTTATAAAGCAATGTTAGATAAGCTGCCTTGTATCTTGTTGTCCTTCATTACATGGTGCTCAATTCACTACCAGACAAGATATCAGGATTGGTTAGTTCTTTAGGTCCCTCAAGTCAACATCAAACTGGTAAAAAACTGCTTTTAATTATTGTATTATTAATTATTATATCCTGGGATAAGTTTCAAGATATCATCAAGTTGAATGCTCTAGTCTCTTATGTAAATTCTAAAATCTGTTAAATGATTTAGATGTCAAGGTCGGTGACTTTAAATACTGTTATCATAACATCTTTTACCATAATGTCTTTTGACTATTAACACAATAAAGGTAAAATAAATCAATAAAATGAAATATTTGAATATCTGCTTATACGTGTCCTTTGTGTATAGCATGCAGGGGGCTATAACTGCATTATCTTGTGCAATCCTGTATTGTAAAATGACAATAAAACCTGGACCCATGAATTTTCAACCTACTTTGAACATACTCAACTAAAAGCAAACAGGCTCTGCCAAGTAACTTGCTAGCACAAATTGCCACCACATTTTCACCTTTACCTTTAAAGCCTTATAATAGAGGCCAATAGTGCCTGACCGTAGCCTTGTTACATCGTATCTAACCTCATCAGCAATGCAGATCCCTCCTCTCTCTCTCACAAGTTTGTAAGCCTCCTTTAAGTAGTTTTTGGGATATTGCACAGCTCCTCCCATTCCCTGTACAAAGAAAGCACATTTCTCTATAAATGCATGTTTTTATTTGCAAATATCACACCCATAAGGCACTCCACAACAAAATATAGTACCTGAATAGGTTCTGCAAAGAAACCAGCAATTCGACTTGGGACACTCGTGGCAAATGTCTCTTTGAGCTGTCCAATGTATTGTTCACTTGCCATGCAATGACCTGTGGGATCAAAGAAAATTATTTTGGTGACAGTAATAAGACACAAATTAGTATGTATAAATGCAATATTTATGGCTTTACAACAGCCTAGAGGTGAGTAATTATTCAATAAATTGTTTCCATTCAATACAATGCAGTTTAATAGTATTGATCTCTCATATCACAATACCATGATTCACAGTTCTGATGTCTAAATAATTGACAAGTTAAATCTTTTAAATAAATCACACGTTAAATCTTACTCAAATATGTTGCAGCATGACATTATATATATATAAAATACTTGAGGCACTTTCTGGAAGAATTAGTATCTGGGATTTAATTTTAATAAAACAGGTTGACTCGATGGGATGAATAGTAAATTTATCTGATTTCAAATATTTTCGTAAATATTTTGTCCTTATGGCCCACCATTACAACAGCCTAATTTTACTAAATCTGGTGTGCATATACTTTATGTTACAGTGTAACTGTTGTGTGTGTTTTAAATATAAATAGTCATATAGATATGATAAAATACTGACCATTTCCAGGTGGACTGTTGAGACACAGGCATACGATACAGCTAAAAATTCTGAAACTTGTATAATGTCAAAAGAGGAAAAGAATCAAAAGAAGGAGACTTGATAAAGAAATTGTTTTGTCTGATTATCCGGATTAAAACTTACCTGTCTCAACTTTGTGACTTTCAGGGAAAAGTTTGAAAGAGGCAACAGATTTTTGTCAAAATGCTCTACTCTACATAAATATAGTAAATCAACTGCTTACAAAAGAACTAAACTTTAACTAAAATGTCCCTTCAAGCCGTTACCGAGGGCTACACAGAAAAATAAATTAGGCATACACTATACATATCCTTTAACCTTGGACCAAGATCACAAAGGTCAAGCATTCACTCTTACAAAGCAGGAGGTTTCCTGTGAAAGTTGAACATTTTCTTGTGGGAATATTGCAGAAGGGATCCTAATACATATTCCCACAGACTTAATGAGAGCAGCAAGAGAGATAACCTGAGTGTACTGAGTCCTGGGTACATGTGCTTGTGTACCTTGGGCACAGCTACATTCTCTGATGGTCTGCACAGGAGAGTCCCTGCAGTGGCTTCCTCCCCACGGGCCTCTGAACACATCAGGGCACATGGTCTGTTTATTGGGCAGAAATAAAGTCAGCTGGATCAACCTGACAGCAACAGTCACTCATAAGTAATCAGCACAAAGTAATCCTCATAAAACCTGGAATGCTGCCACAGCATTAAAAAGGTAAGCTAGCATTAATGTATAGCTTCTTTTGTTTGTTTGTATGGATAGTGGTGCAGCTAATGCTAAGCAGCTTTTGCAGCTGCATAATATGGAGCCCTTAACATGATTTCTTTTTTTATCTTGTAGACACAAATTATTATTTCCTCACAAGATAATAACTGGGTGGAGCACATTGTTTAGTGCAACAATATATTCAACCTAATTAAAGCATGAATTTTTTTTGTGTTGTAAATTGCTGCGTATGACACTGCAATACATTAATGTTACATACATGCGTGCAGCCTGAACTTGTAGAAATGGGGTATTTATATGGCATGTTGGAGGTAAGACCCATTGTCTGTTGGGTGCCACCGTGGTATGACCCTCTGGAAGGTAAAAAACAAAAAAAGAAACATTTGGAACGTTTTAACGTATTGCTAAAAACATTTCTTATTTTCATGTAATTATATAGCACACAAGACTTCTACCTGAAAGTGATGATGTCAAAGTTGCCTGTGTGAAGTCGAGCCATCAACATAGCCAAGTCATTGGCTTCTGAGCCGCTGTTGGTCAGATATATCACCTGAACAGGGAAACACAGACCAGTAGACATTTTAATTACAGTCTACATATTTATCCAGGCTCACGCACTCAGGTGATAATATCCATTATGGTACCTTAAGGGGATCTGGTAAGTAGGACGCTAGTTTCTCACAATACTCATGGAGAGTAGGATGGACGTAGATGTTTGTAGTATGCCACAGCGTCTTCAACTGCTTCTGTGCAGCTGCTGTCACTTTCCTGTATCCACAGATGTCAGGGTCAAAACAAAATTTTTTGAGTTCAAACTGTAAATCAGAATAAAACACCACTGTGCAACATAGCGAAAGAGGACCTTACGGGTGGCAATGGCCCAAACTGACTGTAGCCACACCAGCAAACAGATCCAGATATCGCCTCCCATCTACATCCCACAGCCATTCCATGTGTCCCTGGTGGATGAACACTGGTTTCTTATAGTAGGTAATCTTCATGGTCATAGGGTTGCAATTCTGCCTGCGGATCTCCATCATGCACCCTTTGGACATACCCTGAAGAGACATAGATACACAGAAGAATTACAGCATAGGAGACTACCTGGGTAGGACCCAAATGCAGTTGACAGAGGCACAAAAGAGGCAGTCCAAAACAGGCAAAAAAAAATCCAAGAAGTGGGAATGTGGCAGGATGGAGTAGCTGAGAGGCAGAGAGGTTCTCTCTTGGTTAAATCTTACCTATCCGAAAGAACACAATATGTTTCCAATAATAATGCAGTTCAGGGCGATGTTCCTTTTACCTTGTATTCATCTGGCTTGAAATTGCATGGAGGCATCTCTGGGAGGTCTGCGGGACGGTATTTGAGGGCGGATTTCTGACATACTGCACCTGTGAAATGATTTCAGTTGAAACTCAGAAAATAGGTAAAGGAGATTATTTAGTTTTTAAAGAAATCCATGCGATTATCAAAGCCTTACTATAACATTTGGTGACATTTGGGGCATTATTTTGTGTTACAATCTGTCGTGACATTTTCCCCAAGGACTTGACATTTAATCTAGACTCTATATTGTAGCCTGATAATCAGATTGAATTGCCATGTACCAGTGAATTGCCATGGAATTACTGAAGAAATTGTAGATGTGGACAACAATTCAGAAACCTGGAACCAGGCTACTACTCTGATGTAAAGTCGTTATTGCACAATTATGGTTGTAACTTCTATTGATGCATGACATTCTGAATTATCTGGTCAATATTTAATCTGATTAAAAACTGGCTGATGGTTTAACCACATTAACTTTCCATTGTGCAAACTACTTCCTGTTTTTCTACCGAGGGCTAGAAAATGTTAAAACTGGTCCGACTGACTGATAAAACTTTTTTATATATATATTTTACCTTCTGGAGAAACATTTAGTTTGAGCACAGAAAATTTAAATGATGTACAAGTCTAAAACACATGTTATTATGCACCCTCAATTCAACCCTCATGTTTGAAATTAGATAATAATTAAAATAGCAGAACTTTTGATCATCAATGTGTCTAGATTGCAGTGATCGAATTTGAAGTCAATCTGATAAAATCTGTAGGAGGAGTTAGTTCAAACAGAAGTCCGTTAAATGCCAGAAATGGCATGCACAGTTTCAGAATTCGATTCAACCTGCAACTTTGACGGCACGCCCATTGACAACGCCCTTCATACGTACGTGCCACAAATTAGCCAAACTATTAATCAGCCAAGATACTTTGGACTGTATGGACAATTTTGAAGTTAAATCTGATGAATTCCCTAGGAGGAGTTCGTTCACAAAATACAACGCGAAAAGTTCGGCGAAAGTAAATTGAAAATCAAATGGCCAACCTTCCCGTGGGGTTTGGGGTATGGGGTATGGGTCCAAGAGTGTCACGTAGCCTACGATTTCGTACATATCGGTGAAACGTGTGTCGGGGCGGCTTGTTTTAAAAGCCTGTACGGCCCGATTATAAACGCAACAAACACGATTTTGGTATCGTGAGACTACAGCACCACTCTAAACGTGTCCTTGATTTATATTCTAACTATTACGGTCTCCGCATAGTGATTTATCATGCCACCAGAGGGCCCACCTTTAGGGGTGGAGTGGGATTTTTTCTGCCTTTTAGGTGAGCCTCAGGGAGTCATGGCAATCCATCCTACCAAGTTTGTTTTAATCACACGTGCGATGCGGAGATATAAACTGTTCATTTTAAAGAGGCCACCTTGTGGCGATGGGTCTGAGATTGTCACGATCCTAAGGAAGACACGGGGAACTATGGACCAAGCTTGGTGTTCAATCGGACATACCAATGTGGAGAAAGGTCCACTTCCTTTTTTGACGAAAATGTACAGGAAGTGCTAATTTTATAACATGCTTATTTTTTGAAATATCAAAATTCTTCAAATACTTGTTTTGCCTGGACGGTCCCCAGATGCTACGTGAAAATTTTGGTGAATTGGACAAAGCATGTAGGAGAAACACGAAAAGTAGTTTTATTTGGAATTTTGCCTCTAGCGAAAAAATATTTAGGCGGAAAGTGGGCGTGGCCTATATAGGGAGATTCAGCTCCATTCACCAAACGCGTGGATATAAGTTTTGAATGTGTGACAAACTATGCAGAAGTTATTAGCCTAAACGTCCTTTTATGATAGTAGCGCACCTAGTGGCAACCTGAAAGCAACACAATTTTTCACCAGGCCTGACCACTTTGCCAAATAAAACTGAGTTTTCGTATGTTCAGGGGGGGCCAAAAACGCAGTCGAAGTCGCTAAAAATAATAATAAGAAACATAGCAGTTTCAATAGGGACCTCCAGCGGTCGCTGGCTCGGTCCCTAATTATAATAATAATAATAATATATATATACATACATATATATGTATATATGTATGTATATATATATATGTATCATTATTACATAGCACTTTTCTTAACAAGGTTACAAAGGGCTTTTTCTTTAAAAAGTTAAAGACTTTAAAGAAATTGTAGATATGAACAAAAAACTAATTTAAAAACAAAAAGAAGTAAAATAAAACACCTGCAAATGAAATAAAGAAAAAAGATCTACTGCAGCGTGAAATAACACAGTTCAACTTATGTTTATCCCTGAGTTTTACACAGGTTATCTTGTACAAATATATTAGTTAATTAATTAATGAGCCAACAAGCTGATCAAATTCACCAGAAAAATTGATGGTCACCTGAATCTCTACACTTACTATCACAAAAACAAAGGTTCCATAATAAACCTCCTACACAGACTATGTAAGCATCAGCATCAGACCAACAAATTATGTTTTTTGTTCATCTCCAGGGTAACTCACCACTTCCCAGGTGAAATTTGGCCAAACCAGGTGAACAGCAGGACTGTCCCATGAGACCTGCATAGCGGCCACTTAGACAGGAAACAACTTTATACATGTTGAGCAGGTAAGGTACAGAAGGAACTGCTGAACGTCTATTGTACTCTCTTCACTTCAGGTTTTTCTTTTTCTACAAAGTGACAAGGATGGGTGGACAGTGCGCAGCCAATGGTACCCTGATCCCACCAAACTACAATGATTTTTTTGCAACGTCACATGGATAAATATATAACCAGTGACACCTACTCACTATTTCCACTACATGCTCACTGATTGGGAGTTGAGTTTAGGAACAATGCAAGTCAGTGTTGGATGGTTCTGGTTCTCTCCTGTTTGGAGGCCAGAGAAGAAAATAGCCCCGCACAGGTGAGCGGGAGTAGGATTCAAGGTTCAAGATTCAAGGTACAAGTGTTTTTATTTTTCATTATACAATGCCGGATTGCACAATTAAGCGCATCCCCCTCCTTGCTACAAACAAATAAAATATAAACAGATATTCAAATATTATAACAATATATATATAAATTAGAATAGATTATAAACAACAAATTGGGCAATATATTAACTCTATAATAGTAGCACTAAAGGAAGAAGTGTAAAGTGTAATGTTGCAATGTCTTGGAGGCTCTTCTGGCCAAACTCACCAGGCAATTGATTATGGGACGCTAATCAGACTGATGAAGCTTAAGCAATAAAAGCTGGTCCTATGTGTTCCCTGTTTCTCCCTTCTTTTATCTCTCATCCACTTTGCATTACTTGTTTTGGTTTTGCACCTCCACAGCACACATCCATGAACTTTAAAGGTAGGCTATGTGATTTTAATGAAATGCACTTTTTTCTAAATTCAGCAAATATCTCCTCATAGTCTGATAGCTGTTTGTTTTGTGTGTGCTGGCTCTGTAAATGGGAAACAAACAAAGAGCCAAACAACACTATCTTATTGTAGCCATTCCAACCATGACATCAGGTTAAGTGACTTGCCCACAGATATTCAGCTTACTTTCAAGTTTGCCAAGACTCGCTGTTGTTGAGCATCATCCACAACAGCGTTCTCTCTGAGTTCTTTTCAGTCTTGTACAGCATGAACAGGAAGGAGCTGAGAACAAAGCGCTGGGGGCTTAGTTGTCTAGTTAACACTAACCCTAACACTGAGGGGGAGGTTGAATTGGATAGTTTGTTAGATATAGATGTTTGTTAGTCGCCAAAATGATGGACTTTCTTTGAGAAAAATATTCAGTTTTAACAGTGACAAACTTCCAGGTGTCTGATTGTTACTTGTTTTTGCCACATTGAATTGGATGTGGCCTTTGGATGTCTGCTATTTTAAGGAAAGATTCAAACAGAAACTATGAGAAAATGATACCTTGTAATTAGAAGGAATGCATACAACTCAATTCATTTTGAATTGTACAAATCATACGGCTCTGAGCTTTGGGTTTGTTTCTGTAAGAGGTTTAAGCCTCATTGGTGAAAGGAGACTTAAGAACTCATGTTCTTCTTACAAACGTGGTAAAATGATGCCTGTTTAAAACCTGATCATGATATGGTCACATTTCAAACTGCTAGGATGCTGATAGAGTGGCGTCCAATGCAGGTTTTTGTGGAATTTCAGGGTTGTATAACTTATATTTATGATCATACACCTACACCCAATGAACCAGAATTTGACTTTAACAATCACAAGGAAGTAAGAAACAATGTGCCCTACTATGGTGTTGGTAACACATGGGATGCTTCTGGTGAATTGAACACCTTTCCTTCCAGTCTGAATTGGGATGGAATCATATTAACTGATCTGAGCTTAATCATTTGAGAAAGTAAGTAAAAAAAATGAAGCATATGAATGTGCACAGACTACAGACTGCAGGACTGCAAAGAAGAAAAAAAAGAGCCTTTCCCATTTTGTAGGAAATCTGTAAAGAAATTTTGGACCAAAAGTCACAACTCAGAGAGACCAGGTAGGTAAAGTAAAATGTTCAGCTTTACTTGTAGTCAGACAGCAGGCAATGATCAACACCAGGTAGACTTGATAGAGAAGACAAATTATCCAGATATGATCAAGCAAAGGGGCAGAAGTCTTAAGACTCTGTGTGTAAGGACAGATTGCAACAACTGTAATTGCTTAAACAGATTTTCTGGAAGCCACTTGTGTTGGAGGTGGATGAGAGCCATGGGGGTTTGAGGTAGTGTGTTCCCGAGATTATGGGGGTAAATTACAACCCATCGCATTCACTGGCAGGAGCCTTAATTATCCTAAACACAAAATGAGCAACTGTCTAAGTCTAAGAATCCTAAACTGGTTTCCTTTCAGTGGGCAGCTGCTGAAAAAAAATAAAAATAATGATATATCAGTTAGGTAACCCATATACAGGGTTTACAGACAATAATGGCAATTATGCCATGCCCATTTGGGGATTGAAAAGATAAATAGGTAGAACAGTAGAACCTATACCTGCAGGGAGCAGTGTGACCAATGTGTAATAGCAAAAATGGTTGTTCCACAAGTTCACAGACTCATTATTATTACATTGCGTGGAGAAATTACAAATTGTAAAATGATGACACAATGTTACATCCAAGCATGATTAAGAAGATCCATAAAGAGCTAAATTAACTTCAAGTCAGTTGTTAGAAAGGCACTGTACAATACTTTTTCTTATGTATGTTAAGTGTATTGATACTTCTAATTACAGCATATTTAAACATAGTTTCATAATTGCTATGCAAAGGTTCAGAAGGTGAAAATTACTTTTAACATTTTAAAAGATGTCCAAAAAATGCAATCCACCGCTGAGTGCGTTTCCAGGTTTGCTGCTTGGCATTGAGCAATCCAGCTGACCTACATCTAACTTTCATCTTCTTTCCATGTAATTGTGGATGGACTTGTTAAAAACTGCCAGGAAGAAATCAGCGTCTTCCATTGTGATGCACATGGGGGGTTTGATGCGGAAGGTCTGAAGAGGTAAAAAAAACAGAAAACAAGAGGGGAGATTATAGAGTAAAGGAGATTACCAGGAAAATGTGTAACCAGGTAAGGGGCTTCATTCTGTGTCGCATACTAATGGCTAAGCCACTTTAAACATTTCAGGAGCATAATTAAACAGCAGGAATAGCAATGTTCATCAGATTAAAAGTTATAGGTAAAAACAACCACTGAACATTTTTTTTGGGTGGACTTTTTTTTGGCATGGCTTTGGCTTTTGTGTGAAAGTTGGGGTTCATGTTGGTTCTGTTCTGAGATACTGCAGTTTAGAAATATAGATAGATAAATGTCCAGAGATAATGGACATTTATATCATAATGAAAATTGTGCCGTTATTGCAGTTAAAATTAAATGCAAATAACAAATGTTTAAAGCCAAGAACACTAAATCGTTTTCAATTAAAAAACTGAGGTCTGAATTATTGTGGCATTTTGACACAGTGTTTGGAGTGTTACAAACATATGCCCCATATTCAATGTTTTTATTTAAGTATAATAATCGCTATGCAGTAAAAATGCCTACAGTATTTTATTTTATAAAGCCAGTAAAAACTACCTGCAGTGTAATAATTTCCTGACATACCAAAATGAACCATTTAGACTGATAAATGATGAGCAGAGCTGGAGGCAAAATTACCAACCATGGTCCCGCTGAAAGGCTGCAACAGTGTTTGTAACAGTGGCAGTCATTTTCTGAATTATCAGAGCATTTTTTTATCAATCCACTACCAAAAAGCACAAGTGTTTAAAATGCTATCCAAACATGTCTGTTTAACTTGTTTTCAACAAAACAACAAGCTTTCTGATGTAGGTGCCAACTGTGTTTATATCACATGAAAAAATGAACTGACAGACTGACAGTTGAGCGGTGTTACCTGTCCGTAGAGTCCTCCTTTCCCTATCAGGACTCCCATGTCCTTGACGTCCTCAAAGATCTCACCCATTGCCTCGGGAGACAGCGGGTCCCTGCTGGCCTGTGGATGATAGAGAAGAGGTGAGGATGTGTTACAGTAACCACAGTGAGTGTACAGTAACTAAGTCAACTACATTTTCAATTACCAGGCCAATTATAGATGTCAATAGGTGTCCTCAAGCAATAAGACATTCATCTCATGGTCAATCAGTTATTAATTTGAACTGTAAAGTGAATGGTATTTTTTACATTGGATCAATATATCATGAATGGTGTTGTATAACATGTCTGTATAATGAGATGGGCAGTGGAATAATAAGGACAACATCTAGGAAACCGAGATAACTATTTTTTCTAGCCATTGCAGTTGTCCTGTATTTGCTGTTATACATTTTGAAATCAATGTCCTTTTAATTTACATTATGTTGTGTTTATTGCAGACAGATACTGCATGTGTTTCCAGGGTTAAAAAAAGAAAAATATGGAGTTAGAGAGCCAGAATCCTTCTACCTCACAAACCATGTTTATATATACATGACCCAGGAAAACAATGAGGAACATTGGTCAAAATTAGACTCTCAACAAAACTGACACAGCAGGATATTTGCCAGAATAAAAAAAACAAAGGACAAAACTGAACATTTCCCCAAATCTGTAATTACTTCTGCTCTTATTTTGCCATGTCTCTGTACTGGCTCTTCCTTTTGCTGGATCTATTTTAATGCAATACCATCAACAAGAAACTTCAGTCAGTACTACACGCACTGCAGCTGAGATTGTTCTCTTCACAATTACAGATGGTCACTGCTGCTCCGGCTAATGGTTAACTGGGGCACTGCTGAACCATTGCCCCAGGGGGGAACAGCGCAGACACACACGTTGATTGAGCATGTGAGGGGACGTGAATGCCACTTCTGTTACAAACTCAATACCTTGTCTTTGACCATTTCCACGCCGATCTGCAGGCCTTTTCCACGCACATCACCGATAATCTCATACTTGTCTCTGAGTTTTGCCAGTTCTGTCAGCAGATAGGTGCCCACGTTAAGACTGATCTGCTGTGCGCCGTCCTCTTTGATAGTCTGTAAAGTAAAAATATCATAGTCAAGTCTGAATTATAATTCAGTGTGCTTCTGTAATTAGGAATTTTAGTTTTCAGATGCAGCTACAACAATAACCTGCAGAAATCCATTGAATTCTGATCAAAATGAACTTTCTCTTGGGTTGTAAAAAGAGAATATGAATTCTTACATCAAGTACTGCTGAAGCAACAGCACAAGCCACAGGATTTCCTCCAAAGGTGTTGAAATGAACTCCCTTGGCAAATGAAGCTGCAATTTCTGGGTAACACACGAAGAAACAAGCTCAGACCTCCACCAACTGCTGCTCCAAAACCTCTGCCAAAAATATATTTCTTCAGACAATATAGTACATTACAAATCAGGTAATGAGGTGATTTCATGTTAGCCTCTGTACCTTTTCTCTCTGAGGTGATTTCATGTTAGCCTCTGTACCTTTCACCAAGTAGGATATCAGAATGACATAAAAATTAAATAGAAAAACAGTCCGGTCTTTGAGTGAAGTATCAAAAGGTCGATAACTAAGAAGGAGCTGTGGCAACAACCCTAATAAATAAAATAAGGAACATGAGATCACACATTCAGGGCCAGAAATAGATGTTAGTCTGCAGCAGGTCAGCTTGGGCACACAAAAAAGATAGAGCACCATAGCAACAAGCAATAGAGGCGAAGGTCGAGAGAGTTCATCCCATAATTCTCTCTGTACTCAACAGAAATGGTATAGTATTGAATTGTGTTAATGGCTTTGGTCTCAGAAAGCCTATTAACCATTGGTGTGTTCTCTTTCACACTACAATCCAATCACATTATAGCTACTGATCAACACGTCCTCTCCGTCTTCCGCCTTCAGCAGGGAGCCTTGAATCCTTGAGAGTGAAGTGGTGAGGTTTGAGAATCTACAATTTCATTCACCCACATGAATGTGTGATCAACACCTTATTACTCAGTTACAAATACATGTATAAAATGTACATGAGGCGGTGATGAATTGTCTATGCTTGTTGTAGGTGAGAATAGGGAGGGTTGAGAACATCTTTGAAATGGTAAATGACTTCTGGTCTGCCTTGCATCAGGAATTTTTAAATATATTCATCCATCAGCCGTGTTTTGAACTTGTTTAGTCAAATTAGTCCAAACTCACAACTCACAAAATAAATCTATGATTCATCCCTACCTGGAAACCAGACAGAGGTGGTCTCATCTCTCGTCCATCTTCCCAAATTAATATTGAAAATAATGAAGAACAGTACACTATACACATGCTTCATAGCTGTATTCAATCTTTTATGAACTTACAAGCAGATTTTCAAACAAAGATTGTATATCTCACAGTATTATCTCACCTGGTGTTGTAACAACAGCTCCCATTGGGAATCCATTACCAATGCCTTTTGCCATTGTAATTATATCAGGAATGACGTCATGACCTTGGAAACCCCAAAAGTGACTTCCTGTTCGGCCAAATCCAGTCTGGACCTGTTAGGTACAAAATAGATTACATTTATTTACATTTTTATTCAGAGGTGCTCAAGAGATACATACTAAAAGACACCATAGCAATCCATAGCAGCCATTATTATTTAACATTAAAACTTCTTGCTATAGTGTGTTTTTTATATGCCTTTATCTTATCTGAGATAGATAAGTACTTCTGTCAAGATAAGTAATCAGCTCATTCATCTCAGTTGTTGTCCCTTGAGAAGAAGGTGCTTTTACTTTAAGCAAACTATGTGTTAAATGAGTATGTGTAATCTGAAAGGGGTTGCTTGTAGTGATAAACCCAAAAATAATTATTACCTGACCGCAGGTCCCCTCTACAAAAGGGTTTTAGTCTTTCAGCTCATTATTTTGGTTTTACAGTCTTCAACTTTATGGCTGTTGATAATATGTCAATATTGTGTTTACAGCTTGTTTGCGCTGCTCAAAACAATAATGCAGGTTTAAAGTCCTTTAAACAATATTACTATGATACTGATGAACAACATTTTTAAAATAAATAAAGTGTATCAAACCTCATCAGCAATGCAGACCCCTCCTCTCTCTCTTACAAGTTTGTAAGTCTCCTTGAGGTAGTTTTCAGGGTACTGCACAGCGCCTCCGACTCCCTGTACAAACCAAACAAACGCAACACAACAATGCCACAGTCCCATCTTAATTAAGACAAGCAATCATCACACTGATAATGGGAAAACAATAAACATGGATGGCATCCTTACAAGGACTTTTTTATTTGCTAATATTAATGTTGATATTCAATGGTGGCAAAGCAACAGATGAGACACGCAAAAGCATGTTGACTATAAGACTACATATCTTGTAACACTCCACAAGAGTATATTGTACCTGAATTGGCTCTCCAAAGAAAGCAGCAATTCGACTTGGGACACTCGTAGCAAATGTCTCTTCGAGCTGTCCAATGTATTGTTCATTTGCCATGCAATGACCTGTGGGATCAAACAAAGAGAAGTCCTTTAAATCAAACTAAAAGCTAACTAATTTTTATCAATAACTACTTAGCAAGTGTACAAATAAGAAATCCCTAAAAATATATAAAATAATGCAAATATTTATACTAAAGCTCTGGGATGAGCAAATATTCCATATATTGTTTCATTTATATATTATAGTGTGCCATTTTTCCATAAAATTGTATCATTCTTATATTACTACATGGTTTGAGTGAGCATTTTTGTAATTACATTATATTTTGTGGATTGAGATAGGAAAGTGATCTTTTTTTTTTCTTCCAAACTTCCCAACACTATAACAACTAACAAATATATGTAACACACAGCAGCAGAGTTGTTATTAACTTATATCGACATATTGCAGCATAGCGGCTGTTTGTTTTTTGTGTAAAAACTAATGTAGATATGTCAACATACAGGGTAGACTCTCTAGCTGAGACGCAGGAATACTATATGGCCAAAATTCCTGAAAATAGTAAAAAAGGTCAATGGAGGTACAATGGTAAATGATCAACAGTAAGAGACTTTGAACTTTATTTAGGCAATTCAGTCCCTTTTTGTCTAGTTTCCAGGCTTATTATGTTTTACCTTCAGGACTTCCACGGCAGATTATATAGAAAAAATATACAGCTTGTGAATTGCAGCTGCAGATATAAATACACATAGCTTTATACTGTTTCTGTTCAGCATTACACAACTGCACAAACACTTGTTTTTTAACCTTCAGCATGCCACATTTTTACGTCATTCATTTCGTGTCATGTGCATAAACACATGACAGGAAATGAAAGTAGGGTTAATGTTTTGTTGTACTATTGCAAAAGGGATTGTAATGCTTAATCTCACTGATAACAGTCTTGTTTTTTCCGGTTTATGAGAGCCCTATGAGTGTGTTGATCCATGGGTGCATGTGCTTTTGTACCTTGGGCACAGCTACATTCTCTGATGGTCTGCACAGGAGAGTCCCTGCAGTGGCTCCCTCCCCACGGGCCTCTGAACACATCAGGACACATGGTCTGTTTATTGGGCAGAAACCTAGTCAGCTGGATCAACCTGACAGCAACAGTCACTCCAAACTCAAGTAATGCAGCACAACATAGCTTCTCCTCTGTCCTCTCTGAGATGTTTATTTATCATACATGCATCTGTCCATTTCTATCTCCATATTATATATTGACCTTCACTAAAATAGATCGAGTGTATGCTTTCCTCAGGACATTTGAATACATACATTTGTGCAGCCTATACCATTGGCAATGGGGTATTTATATGCTGCGTTGGAAGTGAGACCCATGGTCTGTGGGCTGCCACCATGGTATGATCCTCTGTAAGACAAAAATCAATCAGAAACATTTTGGATTTTTAGACTACAGAGAGCTTTTTATCAACAATCAAGCTATCAAGCTCAATAATGTGTGATATGCTAAATGAATATAAGACTATAATATAGACAGACATTTTTTTTATATTCCTGAGATGGACCTGGAATCATAAACCTTGTCATTGATTGTTTACTCAAACTGAACGCTTCTCCTCCCTGTACCTTACAAATATTGTTGTCCTAATAGCATCTTGAATTAATGGGAGAGGAGGACAAACTACCTCAAAACCAACAAAGACATCTATCGTCAGCCTGGGAAAAATGTAAACACTGCCTGTGAATTTTAGTCATGCTATATATGGGTTAGGTAGGTAGTGCATTATGACGCACGTACGGATGTCTGTCTCTATTGATCAATATTAAACAATACTGGTGACTCAGTACCTAAGAGTGATGATGTCAAAGTTGCCTGTGTGAAGTCGAGCCATCAACATAGCCAGGTCATTGGCTTCTGAGCCGCTGTTGGTCAGATATATCACCTGGACAGGGAAACACAGACCAGCAAGCATTTTAATTACAGCCTACATATTTATCCAGGATCCTACACTCAGGTTGATCAAAATGAGAAAAGCCACCAAGGTACCTTAAGCGGATCTGGGAAGTAGGAAGCTAGTTTCTCACAGTACTCGTGGAGAGGAGGATAGACGTAGATGTTAGTAGTATGCCACAGTCTCTTTAACTGCTGCTCTGCTGCTGCCGTTACTTTCCTGTATCCACAGATATCAGATATAAGAACAGCCATGATTGAATGAATGATTTTTATAATCAACTGTATAGCAGAATAAAACATCATTGTAAGACACAGGAAAAGAAAAAAGGACCTTACGGGTGGCAATGACCCACACTGACAGTAGCCACACCAGCAAACAGATCCAGATATCGCCTCCCATCTACATCCCACAGCCACTGCATGTATCCCTGGTGAAGGAACACTGGTTTCTTATAGAGGGTAATCTTCATGGTCATAGGGTTGCAATACTGCCTGCGGATCTCCATCATGCGCTCTTTGGACATACCCTGGACACAGACAAAGACACAGGACAGGAGTTACATTATCCTGTTTTCAAACTGGAACTGGAACTGGAGTCTGTTTGTGTGCCTGTAAAAAAAGCCACTGTAAATGTACCAGCATGAAATATTTACTTAGTCTGACATAACAACATTGTTTATTCATCACAGAGTTGGTTACTGAATGTAAGATCCCATATGCTTGGATAATATTACATTTACCTTGTATTCCTCTGGTTTGAAATTGCACGGGGGCATGTCTGGGAGGTCTGTGGAAGGGTATTTGAAGGCTGATTTCTGACATAATGCACCTGTGAAATAATTTTGATTGAAGTTCAGACAAGGTAAAAACACTCATTCTTTGAGGGCTTCATGAGCTACGGTACTTGGCTGAGGCTGATCAAAGCTTTTCTATGACATTTCTTTGACATTTTGGAGTCATTTGTGAGACAACCTGCCAATAACAGTTTACCCAAAGGTCAATATATGTATGTGTGTGTGTGTGTGTGTAGTGCAGAAGGAGCAGTAGTCTGGCTAGCAACTATTCAATATTATATCAAAGCAATATACTCCTGAAGAAACATTTAAGGAGGAGGGATTCCTCCTTTGCAAAGAGGAGGCGGGATTATGTAAAGGTATAAGTAGCCCATAATTGACTATTCCCTCTTCCTGTGCAGGTTCAATTTAACTTTTAATTAGTAAATTATACTAACTAGTGGTATAATCTGGCTGAAATTATTGCAATATCCTATATTTTTTTAATGTCTTCTGCTTCTTCTGAATGTGGTGTAGTTACTCGTATGTTTAGGTTACCTGATCAAATCAGCCTTGTTCAAATAATGGAGCTTCAACAGTCAGCTCAACATAGCAGTGGTGTATACTGTTATTCACACAGTAGTAGTTGATTAGGTACACCTAACTAAAACTAATGCAGACAACAGTCCTATAATAAATGTCACCAGAGGTGCCGATTCAGCTGTATGATCCATTTGGAGGATGTAGTTGTGGTGCTGTTGAACTGTATTATGTTATTTAGCCTACACTCATTGATATAAATGGGGCGGACAAAATAATAGAAACACCTGTAAGTATAACACGATACAGTTCAACAGCACCACAACCACATGCAGTCTGAAACAACAAAAACTGAACGTTATAAACAGTGAGACAATGTGACTACAGTACTATTCTGGGGGACTTTTACTTCATTAAGCTAGTGTTAAGTATCTCTGCTGCATATGCTGCTTTATACCTTTATAGAGGCAAATATTATACTATTATCTGACCGCTTACTTTACAGATTAATTTACAAAAACAAGACTTTATTTTAACAGAACGGCTACTTTTACGTGAGTAAAAGAGTAACAACTTCTTCGGACAACAGGTTATACACTTCATTAATATAAGGTAAGACTGGTATTAGTTTTAGTTTGATAAATGAACTGTCAATTGAGCATGGCGTTAATGTTAATTAATCAAACACATTTTAAATAACCACGAATAACTTTATGGGTTTATCACATTCGCGTTAATGCACCTTTTTTCCACAGCAGACACTTTGACATGACAAAGTAGGGTAAACACAGGTGTCACTAGAGCCAAAATGGATACTGTGAAAAAAAAAAAAAGTTTGGGCTAAAACCTTTAACAATTAACAAATTGTGTCACATTATAAGTCACGCCAGCAACGTTTTCATAATGAACGTTACCAGGTAAATGAACACATGAACCCAAGTAAGCAACAGACCATAATAACCGATATTTCCTTCGTCTCCATGGTAACTCACCACTTGCCAAGTGGAATTTGGACAAACCAGGCCGACTGCAGGACTGTCCCGTTAAAGCTGCACAGCGGCCACTTAGACGGGATAAAACTTTGTACATGTTGAGCGGACACAGGGGGCACACGGCTGTCCCACTCCCTTCACCGTCTGACACACTCAAGCTTTTTCTTTCTTTCTTTTTAAAGAGTTTTGGGGGTGGGCTGTCAGCGCACGGTCAGTCGATTGGGCCTCTGGAACGTCACAGGATGCGTGCGCACTTACACAAATCACGATTATAAACAAAGTGTGTGTCACGTGGCATAATAACGCGTATCTCTACCTGCATTAGTATTACGATGCATTCTTTGAAAAAAAAAAAAAACAAACAAAAAAAGACACAACAACTTCATTGACAGACAAATAGTTAAAACATCTCATTCATTCTTAGCATCTCTAGTTATTCATTAAAACAGAATAATACACAGCGGGTTTAATTCATAAGGCATGGGTAACACATTTTCAACTTTCTGTACCTTTTTCCCAGTGATATAATTTAAACCTGGAAGATAATTTCCTTTTTTACATGCACTATGATTTTTTTGATTGATTGATAATAACACACTAATAATAACAGGCATGTAATTATCAGTAAACTAGTTGACACAAAATAAAGATCAAAGAACATCCCATTACTGTATATTATGAATTTATTATAGGCATATTTTTTTAGATTTGATTGCTGTTTCAAATTTCATTTTGTATATGGGCGGCTGATTGTTTATAAAGCTATACATAGGTACATATGCATGCAAAACAAAAGAAATGGCAAAACACAGCAAATATCACTGTTAACAGATACAGAGTGACTTAAATAGTGTTGTACATGGCTCATCTATTTTCCCATCCCAAAGACATAACTCTTTGTAGGAACAACTTTAAAATCTTTAGTTTTCCACTTAACCAATCAAAGCAGTAATAAATATATGTCTATACAAATAAATGTATATACATAAAATAATCTCTGAATGACACAAAATCTCTCTCTCTCTATCTATATTCTATTTTTCCTCTGATCTGTAAAACATCCAGTCTCACTCCACCTACTTAATTCTCTGTCCCTTTTTCCCCCATAGAGCCTATTTTTAGTTGGTTTAAAGTGAAGAAATGATTTTTATTTCAGGTTACTTTCTGCATCATTCATTTGTTTTGGCGCGTTGTGTTTAGCGGCTCCTCTAATCATTTAGCAGAGGTGAAGGCAAGCAGTCATATCAGAATACTAAGGAAATCAGACATATGTTTATCTGATTTTCATACTGTGATCACAGCAGAATTGTGCATCCACAAGCACCTGAACAGAAACTGTCAAGATAATAATAATAATGATGATTTATTCATGATTTTTTATTTATTTAAAAAGGTAAAATCGAGTGTTTGTTTCACGCTGGCCAGCAGGACGGGCTTCCTGCACTTATGGCTTTTAGACGTAGTGTTCTACAGGGAGCAGAGAAAATACGGACATATAAAAATGGATTCATAATTTAACAGATGACGTTACACCAGTATACATCAGTATATTTCAATATAAAAGTTTATGACAGAGAAAAAGATGTGTGATCAATGACCAATGATCAAAGTACCATTTATACGACCAATAATATTTTGTATGAAGTTGATTGAAGATTTTTCATCAGATCAATTAATCAAATTGTCTTGGATTCTCACTGCAGTGAACAGATATCTTACATAATGAAATGAAATGAAATTCTGTAACAGCAAAAAATAAAGTCTCTGCAACTATTTTCGATGTAGTCACCCAGTGTTAGTGTTTTTTTGTCCCAGTCTTTTCCTAAAACAGGTCTTGCAATGTCTCAGACCTTCCAGTTGTGCCTATGGGTCACCTAGTAAGTGGGCGGTGTGCACATGGTGGCAGTGTCAACATAACCATTCACTCCCAGGACCATTTCGTCCTGGACCAGCATGGCTGTAGGCTTCTGTGTAGTGGTAACTGCGGACGACATGTAGCAGTTTTCTCTCACTCCATTCGTCTCCTGGTGCTCACAAGGACACCTGTCTTCTTCCATTATCTCTCTCTGAAGCAGCAGCTTGTTGTCACTGTCCACCCCCTTCACCTTGCTGTAGTCCTTCCCCTGCGGCATCTGGGGACTGCAATTGTTTTGGCCACAGCCTGACACAACGGGCTGGAGAAGCACTATATCCTCATTGACCCTCTGGACTTCCACGTACTCAGTGGGCCGGAGAAGGGGTGACTGCAGACAGGCAGGTGCCTCTTTGCGGCCGATGCTGGATATGTTGACATCACTGTGGGCCTGGAGTTGCTGGCGGGCCTGTGTCTGGGGATGGAGCAGATGAGGCTGCTTGTTGCTCAAACAGAACTCCCAGTAGCTCGGCCCGAGAGCCTCCTTGGTGCCGTGGCCAGGCTGGGTGAGGTAGGAGGATGTAGAGCTTGGGAGGAACAGGCTGTCGGAGAGGTAGTGCTGTTTGGCCATCTCAAGTGAGCTCTGTTCGTCCAGTGTGTTTGAGCTGTACTGGGGCAGCGGAGAAAACACAGAAGGCCACGTCTTCACCCTCCCACTGGACATGTCAGGACTAACCATGTCTTCTGCCTCCGTCCCCATTCTTTCCTGATCTGTGTGCCTCTCTTCCTCTTTTGCCTCTCCACACTTATCCATCAGCAGAGTGTGGCTATCGCAGCTGCCCCGGCCAGAGTCACTGTCAGATGTGGAGGACTCAGATTTGAGGCAACCATCATGTAGATCCTTGCTTTCCTCCAGCATCAGCTCCTGCTCTTCGGGAACATACACCTCTAAATACTCCACCAGCAAGTCCTCATAGTTAGATGATGTGGTTGGGGGGAAATCACACACCACCAGTGCACTGAAGATCTCCTCAGACTTGCCATTCTAGACACAAAGAGAGGAAAATTCAGCTGTAGTGTAGTATTTTATATTTTATATTTTCTGATTTAAATATGATTATTGGCACCAGATTGGGAGGGTTATTCCAGCTTTACCTTAAGAAGCTGCTTATCAAATCCTTTGATTTTAGGACCAGGGACTGGTGGCAGAATGCAATGCTTCAAACTTCACACATGAAAAAAAAGAAAATCGAGCAGCAGATGAAAATCAATAAATATGATAACATAATAAAATTCTTGTCTTCTTGTTGATAATAAGACTAACTATTAACTGTTTCCATTTTTTGAAAATCTTGAATTATCAAAAGCCCCCCAAAAAATATATAAAATAAAATAAACAACAATCAACATTTAACTATTCTGAGATGTTCTAAAACTTTGAAATCTTAAGTGAATATTTGAATGTATAATTATCCCCATTATTATGAATTGTAAATTCATAATTTTCCCAATGACAGTGAAGTTATAGTCAGACTTTTCTATTCCTTACTAATGACATGTCATTAAGAGAGTGAAATATGTCTGTGCTTAAAACAATAAAGGTAATGGGACAGTTGTGTCATAATTTCAAAGAAAATAGTCAAAATTAGTCAATCTAATGATTGAGTTGTGATCTTTAGGCAAGTGTGAAAACTGCAGCTGCTCTGGGCCTCTGCACATATAGCGTGTGCTTATAACAATAATAAAAAAAAAAGTAAACATTTGCCAAACAAATTGCACAAGGAATTCATGATCACCTGCGGCTGTTCATGTGTAGCAACCATGTGAGGATGAGGAAGATGAAGGCAGAAAAGACCGCAATAAGGATCCACACTGACTTCTCACGATGGAAATCTGTAAGACACAACATGACGACGTGAGTGCTTCAACACAGCACTCAACCGTGTACTGTCTTATTATCATTTTATTCCTGTGTTGATCAATATTATACAAAGCGTCATATTTAATAGACTGATATGAGAATGGTGATGATTTTGAATACTTCCCAAAACTATTCTTCTAATATATGCATTATATTTTATGGGGGAAAAAAGATATATATGTCATGTATGTACTGTCTTTGCTGTATACTGTAGATAAGTAATTGGTAGATGTCTTACAGTCAGGAACTTTGACGTAGGAAGTGGAACTCCATTCACTCCAAAAGCCATGATCGGGCTTACAGCGCACCTGAACAAGGTATGTACCACCTGACCTCAGGCTGAAAATGTTAAACATCTTCTGTTGGCCGGCATGGTGCATCTGTAAATACAACACACAATTCATACAACATGAGCAGTGAACAAAATAAGACAGAAATATCCTGTGGTGAAAATTTACCATCCTGTCAATATCTCCTAAGAGATCAGAAGTTAAAGTCAGCTGGGGGATCCGTTTTCTGTTCAATGACTACCACCATGTCATTCCCTTTGTATGAGTAACAGGTTACATACCTCCCAGTCCTTTTCCTGCTCCAACTTGACACGGATCTGGTAGACGAGAGTGATCCAACCGGAGCGGGTGTCAGCCTTATGTGGTGGTTCCCATGACACGCGGAGGAAGGGCCAGCTCTTGTCCTCCAATACAATCACTGTTACCCTCTCTGGAGGATTAGGCTTGACTGAAGAGGGACAGAGAAAATGTGAATGAGAAAAGGTGTGTGTGCGGTTGAGAGGCAGGTAGGGGAAAAACAAGTTTAAGTGGATGATAATGTTTATAACACAGTAACACAATAGGAGCCAACTGTGACTGTGCAAAACATCAGGCTAAACCACTGCGGGTTGCCAATACACAGTAGTGTGTGCCGATGTCTATTCTTCTAAGTAATAGTAAATCAATCTGCACCTCCAGCGGATGAGCACTGTCACTGCAGGAGTGACCTTCCAAATATTTGTAGCGGTTAAGATAAATGTTAATGTTTAGACTTTAAGTTCTTCTTGGAGACACATAGTTGACACTTGTAAGGTAAGAAAAAGATGTCATGAGCAAAGATACTGCTTAGCACTGATAACCAAATCCGGTCACACCAACTATTGGAGACAAGAGAAATATAAGCAGATAAGCAGCCTCAAAGGCAAGGTGACTATTTAAAATCTTTTAATTCTGTGGCTTTACACTCCCTTTTGGATATTTCATTAACAAAACAACATGCTTTTTTCCATACCTCATACAATATCTATATATTGTTACATAATATAAAGTTAGGTCTGCCCAGTATTAATATTTAATCAGATGTCAGATGAAAAGAAAAGGTTGGAATTATTGTAAATTCTTATTGCCAACAAATCCCATGAAAAGACCAAAACCAGCGTGTATTTATCTCGCAATACTTTTGAAACTTC